AACCCAATCAGCAAAGTCCTGTAAAGTTGTCAATATTACCTTTTAATTTAGAGGAATCCAGATTCTAAGTTGAAGAGGCAAAAATGGGAAGTTTTAAGTCATATCTTTCAAGGGTAGAAGTCCCAAGACACTACGAAGGTAAGATGGGTATTCTGTGCTTGGCATATTCCAGGGCACTGAGCTGAAATGGGATACTACACTCCCACAAAAGTGTAAACAAAAATGGGATAATGAAATGAGATATGAAACTGAACTTTCATGAGACTTTAGAAGATGAAACATCACCTAAGTCCCAGTAAAAATAGGACTAACTCCAAGGGAGCTCTCTGCTCTTATTATTCTTATCCCCCCACACACATGCCTGCACAAATACACAAGCACATGTGTGCACACACACAGCTGCAGCATTATGCATTCAAAAAGCAGTCCTTGTGAAAAAGCAAATCAGTCCCACATACGGTACGCAGAATACAAGGAGAAAACCTACACCTTGTATCAAAATAAGCAGAAGGTCTTGAATCCCCATAGAGAGAAGGCATTGGAAGCAAAGAGACTGGATTCCTCTACAGTTGCAAAGCGAAGATTTCTGTGAATGCATATTTGTGTGTGGCTTTCCTCCTGAAATGTTTTTAATATACTAATTGAAGTAGCATTGAGATACAAATAAGCTGTAGATACTTAAACTGTATAATTTTGTGAATATTGCATATTTATATATTTGTGAACCCATCACCTTAATCAAGAAAACAAACGTATATTACCCCCTAAAATTTTATCATGCCCCTGTGTAAATTATAGGTTGGTTTCCGTATTCTAGAATTGTATAGAAAAAGAATCATACATAGTAACTTTGGCATCTTTCACTTGACGTTTTATAGCAATATTCATCAATGTTGTTGCAAATATCAATAGTTCATTCTTTTTTTATTACTGAGTAGAACTCCATTGTATGAAAACATCAAAGTTTATTTATCCATTCACCTGCTGATGAGCACATGGATTGATGGGACTCTAAAACAGAACAGGTACTTTGAAGAAGAGATATGTAAGTTTCTTTAAAAAGTTAAACAAACACCTACTGTGTGATCCAGACATTCATTGCTTGTTATTTACCAGGGAGAAATGAAAGCATGTGCCCATGTAAACACTTGATGTAAATATTCATAATAGCTTTTTTTAAATACTTCCTAAATTCTGAATAGAATAAGACATAATCTAGTAAAGAATTTTGTCTCTAAGGAAGTATTTTATGACAAAATAACTATTAATAATGGATTAAAATTAACTCCATTAAACTTTAAATATGATTTGTCTTTTTTTAAAAAAAGAAAACTAAGTTATTCAAAGAAACTTTTGCTTACAAATCTTCACTTCCAAGTGAATAATTTAGACCATAATTACCCTCCTGTCTGAAAACGTGAAGATTGAACAAAATAATGAAACAATAGATTTCAAGAAAACTAAACATCAGGCAATGAAGGACAATGACACCTGAGAGATTGAAAACAAATGTGGTGACCCTATGACTGTTTTGAAATCATAGGCTCACCACAATGTGGTGGTGGCTTTGAAAAAGTTTTCAGGCCACGATGCAGGGCCAGACCTAGCAATGGGAACCTAGCAATGAACTTCCCAAGTTGAAGAGACAAAGCTGAGAATCCAGGAGACTAAGCATACTAGAATTTACAGCACAGAGTACCAGGAAAGAGAGATTATTCCACATATCTATGGGGGGTTCTCCATCAAGTATTCAGCAGAGAACTAACAGACACATGCCTATGAAGAAACTACCCAGGGCAAAGAAAGAATCATCCAAGAGGATTAGAGGAAACAGTGCCCAGGACACACAAAAGGTACAGGACAGTGTTTTCCCCCACCAGTTGGACCAGATGCTATTGCTGCCTTATTCCCTCAAATTCATAGATTAAATCCTTATTCACAATGTGATAGCATTGGAGGTGATACCTTTGGGAGGTGATTAGGTTATGACTGTGGCACTTGTGAATGGAATAGTTCTATTATAAAGAAAAAAAAGGCCCCAAAGACCTCCCTTGCTTCTTCTGCCATGTGAGAACACAGCTAGATGGCCGTCTGTGAACCAGGAAGTGGGATCTTATCAGACACCAAATCTGCCAACTCCTTGAGATTGGACGTTCAACCTAGAATTTTGAAAAATAGATTTTTGTTGTTTATAAGCCAACCAGTCCACAAGGTTTTTGTTGTTGTTGTTAAAGCAACCCTAATGGAATAAAATTCTGAAAAATCTCCTATTTCACAGGACATATAGAAAAGTATTCACACAGTATTCACATAGAAAAGTCTTGCTTCAGTGGTGGAGAATAATTAGCTCTTGATTAACACTATTCTGGTTCTGCCTAAGAAACCTTAAGAGCAAGACCCAAAGGATTAAACAACATCCAAATAATTTAACTGCACCCCAGAACAAAGCTCATGAATATCTCTAAGAACACAAAATATCAACATTCAGCAAGGTACAATTTATGGTCCTATATCCAATCAAAGATTCCTTGCAAAGAAGCTTTAAAAAAATACCCAAAATAAGAAAAATCACGCAAAGCCAAATTAGAACTAGCATAGGTATTAGAGTTAACAGACAAGGACATTAAAATAGTTATTCCAGTAACAGAATTCGAGGTGTCCAAAATGTTAAGATACAAAGAGGGTATAATACAGACTCAAACTGAACTTCTAGGGATTAAAACTACAATGTAAGAGATGAAAAAGATACTAGGTGGGATTAACACCCAATCAGACAATACAGAAGAAAACACTGGTGAACTTGAATACATAGAGATAGAAACTATGCAAAATGAAACAAGAAAGTAAAAGAATTTTGAAAAAATAAAAAACATCATTAAACTTTGGAGAAGATCAAGGGGCCTAATAAATAGGTAATTAAAGTAACCTAAAAGGCTGGGTGTGTTTGAAGAAAATAATAGACAAAATTTTTCCAAATATGATGAAAACTAAACCTGGAGATCCAAGAAACTCAGTACACTTGAAGAACAAAGTAAAACAAAACAAAAACTACACCAAGATACACCATAATCAAATTTCTCAAAAGTAGCTTTAAAAGGAAAATATCAATAATAGCTAGAGAAAAATATGTTCAGAGGAACAAATAAGGATTTCAGAAATAATATAAACAAGAATCTACTGTAACAACAGTTTTAAATAACTGAGAGAAAAAAAATCTCTCAAGCTAGATTGAAACACAGTATTTTTCAAAACTGAAGGAAAAATAAAGACCTTTTTAGACAAAAAAAAAAAAAAGAATTCACAATAGCAGGTCCATACTACAAGAAATCTTAAAGGACATCCTCCAGGGAGAAAAGAAAACGATGCCAGATGGAAATAACAAAATCTACACAAAGGCATATACAGCATTGAAGACGGTAACTACATGGATAAATATATAAGAATTTTTCTCTTTTCATTTAAATTGTTTAAAAAGATAATTGTTATAAGATAATTACATGAAGTTTTACTATATGCAAAAAAAAAACACTTTTTTAGAATAAAGTAAATAATAGTACTGACAACACTTTTGCAACAGAATATGACAAAAAGAAAGATGATATATAGTTTAATGAATTCTTCTAAATTGGACACTGGGTGCTGACACCACCCAGGTTAAAAAGACGGTAAGCTCACTGCATGTTCCTTCCTGTCACTTCACTTGTTTCACTCCCAGACAGAACCCACTGTGCTTTGTGAATTATCATAATTATCTTTGTTGTTTTAGTGTCTACATATGATTTTTAGATATTATAGGTCAGTTTTGCCTGCAACTGAGTTTTAGGATATTGTAAAAATTTACATGGGATTCTTTTATTTGGTTTTATTATTTTGGTTGAGGGGGCAGGCTAGGTCCCTTTATTTAAAATTATATTTATGTGAAACAATCGTCCACGTGGTGGTATGTAATTATAGTTTATTTTTGTTGTTGAATTATTGTATTCAACTGGTTGAATTTATATTTCACTGGTGCATCCTACTGTTGATGGAAATACTCATAATAATGTTGTTATGAGCCTTCTCATACATAGATCCTGATTTACATAAACATCATTTTTAAGATCTTCATCAGAAGTATTTCACAATTTTACAATAATTCATGATACCTATTCTTGATGATTCTCCATAAAAATCCAGTATGTCATTTTAATAGACTTACTCAGTATATTGTTTCTAAACTGGACCTTAGTACTGACATATTATTTAAAAAGCATGATCAAGAATGTATTTTAATATACATCAGAGTAGTAACAGATACCGAAGTATGTTATGTGGTGCAGATAAAAAGATAACTTTTCTGCATAGCAATTAAATATTACATAAATGTTTGTTTATTCATATTTTATATTTAAAATGTTTCTTATTTTAATTTCTCCAAATAAATGAGTCTGAACAAAAGTAGTGCTGGGAAAGCATATTAAATAACACTAAAAAAAATCACACTCAAGTTGTACAAATCTCTTTACAAAAGAAAGTCTTTTTTTTTTTAATTAATTTATTTACTTTTTAAATACATTTGTCTCTGTCTTCCCCCCACCTCTTTCCCTAGCCCCCTCCCACCTTCCCTCCCTCAGCTCTTCCCCTTTGGTTTTGTCCATGAGTCTTTGCTATATGTTCCTTGACTTTCCCCTTCCCTTCCCTTTCCCTGCCCCCCGCTTCCCTCTTGTCTCTGTTGATTTCTTTTCCTTTCAGTGTTGCTGGTCATATTTTCCTTGCTTCTTTGCATTGTTGGTTTTAAACAAATCTTCAACTTCAAATTTATGTGTTTTCCCTAAGAAGAATTAGATCATATAGAAAGTGGTCACATCAGTAATCAAAGGTCATGGCTATGATTTTTCTTTGTGTTTTTTTCTTCATCTTTCTTATATAACTTGAATATTCTGAGTTGTCTACCTATTTATATTAAGTTTAATCTCCCTTATCTGTACCATCAGGTCAGTATTATTTGCCTTCACAGATACTCAAAGTTTACCAAGACTCATCGTTTTCTGCCAGATGACACATGGTCCCCCACTTTCTTTCAGACAGCACCTCAATTGCCACAGTAATGACAGAATGGCCTGTCTTAGCTTCTTATTACCCCAAATCAGGATAAAAGAGTGACTTGAAGGATACAGGAATCCAAGAGTCTCAAAAACCATGCCATCTGAATTGATTTCCACAGTATAAAAACTCCAAACTGAGATAATTTGAACCAGGAAGTAAATGACAAATAGCAAGAGAAAGGAGGTCATAGTTTGCATGGCTCTTACGTGGACCTTGGTGCTAGCATCTCGGGATCCTTTGCCACTGAGCTGCATCTTCTTGAGATGTCTCCACAGGGAAAAGAGTAACAGCAGTAAAGCTGTCAGGGACATGGTAAAGGGTATGAAGTTTGCAAAAGTGAATATGGTCTTGTTTGAAAGGTGTACAATGTCCCTCAATTTGGTCTTCCAAGTGAGGTTTCCTTCATATGCATTCGTCTGCACTTTTACCTCTAAGCTCACCACTGCAAGATGAAAAACCAAGAAGACCGAGGTGCCCAAGAGTACCGTGAGAACCACTCTTACAGCTTTCCATTTTAAGTGATGAAAAAAAAGGCTGGAGAAATTGGCTATCTTAAGCAAATAGAGTATGCTAAGGCCAGTAGCAAACCAGAGGCTAAAATGGTTGCTTACTACCCAGGCAATATAAACAGTAGTTCTTACTTCTGCACCATAGAAATCTGGATTAATAAAAGTTGCATACCAATTTAATGATATTACCCAGAGCAAAGCAATCCTGGAGACCGCCAGGGCAGTGAGAATTCCATCTGTGCAGGAGATCTTTTGTTTCTTGGCCCAGTCAATGCAGTTCACCAGGGCTATGAAGACATTGGCAAAGTTTCCTAGAACAAATTCTGTCATTGCTAATATGGAAAAAATGTTTCCTAATAAACTTATCATGTCTGAGGAGGGAGGAGCGGGGAACCAAACCTGGAAAAGAAAACAAAAACGCCAAACCTATTATCAATGTTTGTGATTCCTTAATATCTTAAAGTTCTACCTGTGCCTACCTGGTTTCTAACTGTGCAGTAATGTTCTTGTTTTAATTTAAATTCTGAGATCAATGTCAAGCAGAAAAGCATCAGGTTATGATAAGGTATGGGTTTAAAGCTGCTTTAACTAAAAACATTACCCCAATGATTTAAATGAATTCTTTTTCATACATTGTGGTACTTGCCACAGGTAGAATATTTCATAACTCATGTTGAAATGAGAGCTGAATTCTCATTTGTTAACATGCAAATAAAGACAGATTCCTTTTCACTGTTTTACAATTATTTGCCTTGTCTTATCTTTACATAACTTGAATTAATCAAGTTGAGACATTAGCTAGTAAAATTTAAAAATCTAATACATACATTTAGCCAATTCCTAAATTGGTTTTTGGTCCTTCATCATCTAGTAATGATCATAATGGCTCATTATTGCTGAGGAGGATTTATTTTAACAAAAACATTGGATTCATTCAGAAAGACTTAAAAGAACTTAGCTCCTGGTTTTTCAAGTGTTCCCTTTCAAAATCTTTCCAGTTTCCCTAGGACTCCCAGGAAGGCTGATGCTCCCTAAAACTGGGTGCTAATAACTAGTATTCATAAGTATTTTCATTGTTTATAAGCTTATACACACATATACACACACTCAATCTTTACATTTCATTTGTTCTCCTGAGAAATTCTGAGAAACTGTAAGATACAAATTATTGTCTTGTAATTTCCAAAATGAAAACTAAATGTCATGGTGGTTTTTTATATTTAAATCCCTTTTTCTTATATCAGACTTTTTTCAGTCCATTATAATATTTATCAAGCATTTTTCTCATACCTAGTTCTTTTATAAAGGTTCTTTCCTGAGTCTATGTAATTAAAATATTCATCAATTTTCTAAATATTCTTGAAACTCCATTGTGATTTTTAAATATATATTTTATCGATTATGCTCTTACAGTTGTCCCATTTTTTTCTCCCCTTTATTCCCCTCCACCCTACACTGCCCTGCTCCCCAGCATTCTCCTCCCTCCTTAGTTCATGTCCATGGGTTGTACATATATGTTCTTTGGCTTCTCCATTTCCTATACAATTCTTAATCTCCCCCTACTTATTTTGTACCTACTACTTATGCTGCTTATTCCCTGTATCTTTTCCCCCATTCTCCCTTCTCCCCCTCCCCTCTGATCTCCATTTCTATGATTCTGTTCCAGTTCTAGTTGTTTGCTTAGTTTGCTTTTGTTTTTGTTTGTTTTTTAGGGTCAATTGTTGATAGTTGAGAGTTTGTTTTCATTTTGATTTTGATTGTAATTGCATTGGGCACAAGGATTTGGGCACTATTGCTACCTTAGGAAATTGATTGTATTTATATATGAACATGATATATATCTATCTTTGTTCAAATCTTCTTTTGTGTTTTTTAATACAACTTAATAAACATTTTGTTAAGTACAATATATTATTTTTGAGAATAATTTCCACACACCTTAAAGTTTTTGTTGCTATTAAAAAAAAAAGTTGTTTCAAATATCATAATCTAATTAGTTATTATTAGTAAATAAATGTAGATAAATGTCTTATTTAACAATTTTGTAAATATGCTCATTTTATTAGATATTTTTTGTGGATTACTTTGGATTATCCATGGGTAAACCTGTTGTCTGAAAGAAAAAATTTTTTTGTCATTTTCACTCAGATTCTTATAGGACTTATTTCTCTTTTCTTATTGTGTTCGCTAATACTGCTAACACAAAGTTTTTCTTAATCTTGGCATCATTGTGAAAGATTCTACATTTTACCATTAAGCATAATTTTCCTGCCTTTGTTTAGCATACACCTTTTATCCATTTACTGTCATTTTCTTCCACATATATTGATTCAGCGAAAAATTTGGTCTAAAAATATTTCAGCATTCAGAGTTCAGTCAGGAGATGCAGCACAAAGAGATTTGGTGAGAAAACGTTTAACCAGAAATTTATTAACAGAGGATTGGAGTGATGAGGGCCTGACTAGAAAGAAGTAAAGAGAACTCTACGAATGACAGCAACAACAGGGAGGAACAGTCATCCTTAGGGCTCAGGTACAGCGTCCAAAGCAAAGCCTCCACAAAAACTTAACCCACTCATCCAGGCTAAGAACCAGACCTTGTTGAAGATGGCACAGCTATGGTTCACCGAGCTGCCACCGGAAACTGCTGGAAATCCGTTGTTTAGACAGTGCCAGAAATCTACCTTCTGGGGGTTTGGAAAGCTGTTCACCAAGAAATACCTTGCCTGAGGTGCTCTGCTGTAAACCAGCTCAAGGGGCATGCCGGGAAAAGGGTGCTGCCGACCAGCACCCACCGCATGGCAGGGCCCTGCATGGGGGAGGCTGCTGGGCTATGAATCAAGCACTATAAAATGTGCAGTGTATCTGAATTTTTAATTTTTTGGTGAAAAGGTGTGCTTGTATACATTTAGGGTTTTTTTGTTATGCACAGTTACTATGTTTCTAATATTGCATATATTTGATTTTTGTCTTTTCATTGATTTTCACAAAAATCCTTTGATTTTTCCCTCATGTATATTTTATTTTAGTATTCTATGTCATCAATTTCTTCATTTATTATTATACGCAGATTACAAAGGAGTAAAGAATGTAAGCTTGGGAATCAGATGGCTGGTGTTAATTAACACTTTGATTTTTTTTCCATTTTCTAGTTGTGTGACTTTGGGCAATGTACTTAATCTTTTTATTCCTCAGTTCCTTTTCACACCAAATGTAGTATAATTGTTTTCAGTATTACACATGATAATATTTGTAGAGCACTGAATATCGTTTCTAATATACAATAAACTTAGGTAAACATTATTTTATTCCTAACTTCTTTACATTTTTAAAGATTATTTTGTCATTCATTTCTATTTTTTATTGCTTATTTACATTTAATGTAAATTCTGTCAACATAGGAAATAAAAATGATCTTATGTCTGTCACTAATATTTTGCTTAATATTTTAAAATTACGTTTTGACTCATATTTGGAACGTAGCATCAGATTTACATGTTGTTTCCTGTATCATTAATGTGCTGCCTGTCAAGTGCATTCAGAGACTGCTAGGATGATATTTTATATAAAGCCCAGTGTTTGAGAATTTATAGCAGTGTATTTGTTCTAGAATATATTTATTAAAAATCTGTTTCTTCTTTATTGCTTCATGTTCTTTTGGATTTGCATTTCCTTTTCATTGCATGATAGCATTTAGCTTGATTCCACATATACTCATTAATGTGTCAGCATTTCTATGTTCTTGAGTTAAATAACTGACCCATTTGTCTTTTTAAACTCTTTTTTAAAGAAACGCACTCATAGATAAGAATTGTCCAGTATTGGCTGAAATTTTTGAGCTCTTGATAGTGCTTTGCCCTTGTTCAGTTATAAATTTTGGATTAACTGCCAACATATTTTGTTTTGTTTTTTTATGATTGAATTAGTGAGTAATGTACTTCCAAATTATGAAATAATATAACTATTATAATTACTATTAGTATTTTTCATTAAAATATTATAGGAATGTGGTAATAAAAGAATATATTTTGTGTGATATTCTTTTTTGTTTATTGATAATTTTTTGACTTAATACATGATTTATGTTTGCAAAGTTAAATATTTTTTTGAAATAATTGTGTATATTCTGTTACAGGGCTCTACATATATCAGATTAAATTTATTGTATTATTCACATCATCTTTACAATTGTTAAGTCTGTAGACCTATCAGTTTATGAAATATTTAAAATGTTCATGAGATATTGATGAACATTTTCTTTTTTAAAAAATATTCATTCACTTAATTACATTTTAGTATTACATTTTTAAAAAGCAGTCATGTCCTTAATTATTGTCTCTTTATTATTGTTGTTATGTTTATTTGTTTAAACATTTTTCTTTAAATGTTGATTAATTTCTCCCTAAAATTATTTAATTTGATATTGGTATTATTCTACTACCTTTAGTTTGGTTAGTATATTAGTTCAAATTTCAGCTTTATATTACAAAGCTCAATAAATGAGTAAATACATATTAGTGATTTAACTAGATGGAAATTTATCTCTCATTTAACAGAAGTGTCCAAAGTTAAGTACTTTGAACAACAAAATGCATGAGATAATATTAGGCTTCTGTCACTAAGAAGGGACGAATGAATATTGGAAAGCATCTTGCAGTCCTCTTATCAACTATATTCTTCTTTATCCATGTATTTTCAGCTCTTTAACATTTCTTTCTTTTAGATGTGTTTTGAATACAAAATAAAATGTATAACTATATATAAACTATATAAGTACATACAAAATATATAAACATAAGATTTCATTATATAAGATGTTAACATTATACCATATTTAATATATATTTGTTAATCTAATGTTTGAGGGTGCCTACCTTTTGATAACTAACATTTCATTTAGTGTTTCTGATAGTTTTGGACACATTTCTAAGGTTCTACTTGTGGTTTTCAGTCATACTTACTTATTTCTTCTCTAATTTTCTTTGCTGTCTTGGTTTGATGGGTCTGTTGTTATTCCTTTTCCCTACTACCTACTTAAGAGTATATTTACTTTTCATAACTTTTAAAAAAACATATTCCTTAATATGCTTACTATGTTTTTTAATAATAATGTCTAAATTAAACCACCATCTCTTTTGATACAGACAAATGCGTTAGTATATATTAAAATCCTTCTGTACTTGCCACTTACATGTAAATAATATATTAAAAGTAATGTATAATATATATTTTTGGTTTATTAACTGGCCTTGAAGTATAATTTATATAGAATACAATTGTAGTAATTACAATGTGCAGTTCATGTTATATAGAATTTAAAACTAACTTTAAACTACAAAATATCAGTTTTATTACAATTTACACAGCCAATGCTTTCTGATTTCCTCAGCCTATTTTAACATTTCATTTGTTCAGCATTGTTCCTTCCAACCCAAACTTTTTCTTTTAATTTGCTCTTTGTTTTTGTATCAGTAGGTTTGGGCTGCCATAACAAAATACCACAAACAGTGACTTAAACGACACAAATTTATTTCTTAATAGTTCTGAAGGCGGGAAGTCCAAGATCAAGAGGCCACTGGGATTGGTTTCTGGAGAGGCTTCTCTTCTTGGCTTGCAGATGTCTGCCTTCTCCCAATGTCTTTCCTCTGAGACTCTTGGTGTATTTTCCTCTTCTAATATGGACACCAAGCCTATTAGATTAGGACCACACTTATGACTTCATTTAACAGTTATGGCCTCCTTAAAGGCCCCATCTCCATAGTTACATTGGGGGTTAGGGTTTCAACGTGTGGATTGGGGGTTGCGGGGCATGATGCAGTCCATAACAGTATTACTGAAGTAGATCTATTAGCAGCATTTTCAGTGAGGACTGGTATTATATAGTAAATAGCTCAGCCCTTTTTTTAATTCTGAAATGATACGATTTAATTTAGAATAAACTTTATCCAGACAATTAGAATTATAGTTATAGCCAGAAGTTATGGGGACTTCTCCTCCTGGCACTGGAACCCTGGGATAGGGGGCCTGATGTTGGCCTGGGATCCTTTGCATTTCAGTGGTATCTCCATGGGGTCAACAGAGATATGCCTCAGATTTTTATTGGCCACAGTAAGTGTGAGATGAGCTCATTGTCATGTCTCTGCCCCTCCTACTGTTTCTGAAACCAGCCAGTAGGGGTTCTACCACTGGTTGCCAGCAGGCAAAAATTCTGAAGACACAGTTCAGTGGAAAGGAAAAAGAATCTTTTATTTGCTGACCATACAATTTGAAATAAAGGCAGGTTTCTGCCTCAAAGCCCATTCTTTCTAAAATATCCAAAGAAAAATAACCCTGCCACCCTCTGCCAGGTCAGACCAATACTAGGCTGTTCCCGGAATCCCTTTCTCGCCCAACACATGCTCCCAACATGTCTCTTTCTGCTGAGTCATGTTTCTGCTGAGACAGGTGCATGTATATGCAGTTGTCGGTGCTCCCAAACTTCTCCCCCATTTCTGGGATCGGGGGTCCTCTTGTTATACTACCAATGTAAATGTAGCTTCTTCTTTAAATCCCTAGTTATAGGACTTTCATTCAGCAAGATTTCAGGTGGTTTTGAATGATGGTTTTTCTGTAGTTTAGCTGTAATTTTGAAATGGTTGTGGGAGGATTTGAGTACCCCCATTTAACCTATACCACCATCTGGGCAGAAGTGCTTATGTGTGATTTTTATTTTATTATTATTATTTTTTATCCTCACATGAAGGCATTATTTTCATTATCTTTAGAGACAGAGGAAGGAAGAGAGAGAAAAACATCACGCCCAGACCGAGGACAGAACCCATAATCTAAGTACTATGTGCCTTTACCGGGAAACAAACTCTCACTCTTTTGGTTACAGGATGATGCTCCAACCAACAGAGCCGTGTACACATGCCAGGGTCTAACATGTGGATTTTAAAAACTGACACTCTTGTGTTCACTTTGGCAGCATATACACTAAAAGCTCATTCTCTTGTCTGTTGCAGATAGAAAATGACATCATCTGCATATAATGATTATTTTACTACCTCCTTTTAATTATTTATAATTGTGTTTTGACTTTTTTTATGAAATGGATCAAACTTTTAAAATACTTAGTAATTGTGCTATTAACTGGCATCTTTGTTTATAAAAGAGAGTATCACCAGTAAATATAATACTACCTTAAACTTTAGGATAAATACTTTTAAAAATTATCTTCAAAAAATATCATTCTCTTCCTATCTTTTTGTGTATGGTACTCTAATAAAACCTTCATAGAAATATGAAATGTGTTTTGTTAGTTTAAACTGATGTATTTCCTTTTTTTGACCAACTAAAACAACAATACATATAAATCATGGTACATAAAGCAATGGTATGTCTTCTGGTCTATGCATTCTAGATTCAATTAATCATCATATACAGAATCACATTAATGTAAAATAATAAAATTACAACCATCAAAAGAAAATTGAAATTTAGAAAGCTACTACGAAGTAATAAGAGGTGATCTCCAATTGGGGAAAATCAATCTGAATAACAAGAGAAATTTTATCAAAAACTAATGTGCATAAAAACAATTGATTAAGAATTCATGATGGAATAAAATCTGTCCAAAACGAACATCCCCAGTGTATGACTTAGAATTGAATATCCTTACCATGCAAAAGATCAGAGGTCCGAATACTGAAATCTAAATACACGAGGGTGCAAATTGGAATGAAAAATAACAATGATTAGCTGAGATAAGTTGTCAATTCTTGAAAATGCATATGTATAGATCATAAATTTTTTAATTAGAACAGGATAACATAGAATATGTATGTGAAATACACATGGCTTTATAATTCTGAGGAATTTCTCTCAATATTTTGTATAATTAGATTGTTTACCTGAAAAATAATTAAGAGTAAGTTATTTTCAATTTTTCTCATATCTTTCATACACCCACGTACTTTTACATAATTTTATTGGATAAACTTAGGTAAGAATTTTCTTGGTAAAACTTAAAAAATTATTCAGTTACATATACTATGGTAAAACCAGTAAGCAGTATAAAATGTTACAGGCTCCATCACTTTGTTTCTGCTAGAATACAAATTATTCCCCTCCTATTGACCTGTGGTGTTGCAAGTTTCCTTTCTGTCGGCCAGCACCTCACCTGCCATAAAAGTGAAACAAAGTTCTGATTTAGCTTCTTGTTTCCCCAAATTATGATAAATGATTGGTTTGAAGGATAGAGAATTGCAAAGAATTGGCCACACAGGAAGACCTCTTCATTATGAAGGCTATCAAAACTCCAAACTGTGATGATTAGAGCCAAGAAGTAAATGACAAACATCAAAAGAAAGGAGACTGCAGTTTGCATGGCTCTTACGTGGACCTTGGTGCCGGCATCTTGGGATCCTTTGCCACTGAGCTGCATGTTCTTGAGATGTCTCCACAGGGAAAGGAGTAACAGCAGTAAAGCTGCCAGGACCATGGTAAATGGTATGATGTGTATAATTGTGAATACAGTCATATTTGAAAGGTGTGCAATGTCCCTCAAGTTGGTCATCCAAGTGATGTTTCCTTCAAATTCATTCATCTCCATTTTTATGTCTAAGCTCACCACTGCAAGATGAGAAACCAAGAAGACCAAAGAGCCCAACAGTATCATGACAACCACTCTTTCAGCTTTCCATTTTAAGTGAAGAAAAAACAGACTGGAGAAATTGGCTATCTTGAGCAAATAAAGTATGCTGAGACCAGTAGCCAGCCAGAGGCTAAAATGGTTGCTTACTACCCAGGCAATATTAACAACAGTTCTCATTTCTGAACTGTATAAAGCTGCATTAAATACAATTGCATACCAATTTAATGCTATTACCCAGAGCAAACCAATCCTGGAGACCGCCATGGCAGTGAGAATTCCATCTGTGCAGGAGATCTTTTGTTTCTTGACCCAGTCAATGCCATTCACCAGGGCTATGAAGACATTGGCAAAATTGCCTAGAACAAATTCTGCTATCACTAGGCTAGAAAGAATGCTCTGTATTAAATTTATCATGTCTCCAAAAGAAAAAATGTCCGAGTCTAATATCACTGGTCGTGATTCCTTTAATATTCTGACCTTAAGTTCTATTGCCCTTGATCTTGAATGTGCATGTAGTTCTTGTTTCTGTTAAATTCTATGACCAATGTCAAACAAAAAACTACCAGAGTATGTTAATAGAAGGGCTCATTGCTTTCTTTATAAAATCATTATTATGCCCCACACAGCTCAGATTAACTCTTATTCCTATACTTTATGTCCATGCTGTAGGCTGGAATATTTCATAACAGATGTGAAATCTGAATTCTCGTTTGGCAATATGCAAACACAGATATATTCTCTTTCATTGTTTTGCAATGTTTTTTGTTTAACCTTTCCATCACATTGTCCTTAGTGATATTTAACAACCCAATACATTGACTATACAGTGAATGCTAAATTTTTCAAAATATTTTGGCCATCGATAGGATCATCATCATCATCATGAATTTTTTTATTTTTATGTAATTTATTGGGTGACATTGTTTAACAAAATTATATAGGTTTCAGGAATACAATTCAATAATACATTATCTGTATATTGTACTGTGTGTTCACCAACCAACGTCAAGTCTCCTTCGGTCACCATTTATCCACCCTTTTGGGTTTTATTTTTTAATGTGAGATATATGGGAAAGAATCCAAGCTTTCCCTATTAAAACATCAAGGTTTTCTTTAGTACCCCAGAAAGGCCAATGCTCACTAAGATCTGGTGGCTGATAACTAACATTTAAGTATAATTTGTTGTTTGTAAACATATAAGCACACAAGTACTGCACACACAACACACATATCATACATGGAGGAATTACTGTTCCATAGTTTTCTAAAAGGAAAATGAGTCACAACCAAGTTCTCTAAGTGAAAACACACTTTTTATTTCATTCAGGACTTTCAGCCTAATATTAATAGATATCAAAGAAATCTCTCATGTTAGGGCTTTGATGAAGTTTCTTTTTGAATCTATTTATTATTTAAATATTAATTATTCAATAGAAATGTTATAAATATTCTTTGGAAATTTCAAAAGTGCATGTGGATTCCACTGGAGAGTCTAGACTTCTCCATATATGAAAATTCAGTTTTATTTTCTCTGTTTCACTCATTTCAGACTGCTTAGTATATTAAGATTAATAAATGTTAAAATCAACCACTGCTTGTGGATTTTATAGATTCAGTTTTTATATTATAATTGTTTTCACAGGACGAGCTTCGAGCTGCACTGCCATGAAGGAAAACGCAGATGCCTGCTCTGTATATCTCTGATCTTGGACTCTCTTTTAAAACCACTCTCTGCCCCAGTATAATCACCAGTAAAATATCAGATAACCATGACAAGCTTTCCGGTGGTCTCTGTGAGGAGGATGTGCACTGTGCAAATAGAGTGCTTTCAGTTGTGCCTGTCTGTTACAGGCAACAGGCACAGAGCGTTGCTTTTCATTTGATCCCGTGTTATATGGTTCTTCACAGTTATCCTGAGAGAACTTCTGCTTATGAATGCAATGCAGCAGTAGAAAAAGGCCACATTTCCTGCTGCAACAATGAAGATAAGGGGAAAAAACTGTCAAAATTATGTTTTAACTGCATCACAGAACTGTGTAAAGAAGGAGGAACAGTAAACTAAAATCCAGGTAAAGGGGGGGTATTTAGATGAACAGGTGATCTGCATATTCGATGTATCACTATCAATATCAGAAAGCTATTTTTCAGAAAGTGAAACTATTTCTAAAGTGTTTATGGAAATGCAAAGTACTCACGATAGCCAAAAGAATTTTTTAAAGAGAACAAAGTCAGAGAATTATATTCTTAATTTTAAAGCTTGCTACAAAGCTGTATTAATCAAGTGTATTGCTTGAATAACAATAAACATATTTGTCAGTGATTTTCAAAGGTTTTTTATCTCATGGCACACAAAAGTAATTACTAACATTCAGTGGCACAAAAAAACATATTTTTTTCTGATCTGAAAAAAATAGGCAAAATTTTCATTCATTCAAATTTGATGGCTATTGTGTCATTTGTTATGTTTTTGCTGACAATCTAAGGCAAAACAGGTGAGTGGTGATGGCCAAATTGTTAGGTATTGCATGTTTTAAAAATTCTTGTTGCATCCTCTTTGAAAATCACTGATATATATATATATATATCAATGTAACATGATTGAAGTTCAGGTATTAACACTCACCATCATGGTCAGATGATTTTTAAAAGGTATTATGTTAGTTCAATGTGAAAATATCTTTTTAAAAAAAAATGATGCCAGCATAATTGAATATCCACATACATGAAGTTGAATTTAGCCCCTTATTCAACTTTATACAAAAATTATTTTAAAATTGATCAGAGACCTAAAGGAAAGAGCTACACCAATAAAACTTTTAGAATAAAACCTAGGAGAAAAGTTTTGTGAATTTGAGTTACGTTGATGTATTAGAAATAACAGCAAATACAATAGACATACTGGCATAAAATAAGTGTTGAGTCTCAAGTTTTCTGATATATGACATATCTTGAAATCCACTGATACAGGATGCATCTGTGATTCTACTAATTTAAAACATCCATTCACCTTTATCTTGGCGCTGTCTAGCTGTCTCCTTGGGGACAATTACAGTTTCACACTCGGCTAAATATTAGATTAAAACTTAATAAAATATAAAACTTAATAAATTGAACAACATAAAAATTAAAAACTTTTGCTCTATGAAGTATCTGACTTCAAGAATGTAGAGCTACAGTAATTAAGTCTATGTGATATTGTTGTCTACTTACACACATAGATCATTGACTAGGACAGAATGTTTAATAAATAGATCCACAAATGTATGGTCAGTTCATTTTCTTTTTTAAAAAATTTTTTGTTCAAGCACAGTTGTTCCACTTTCCCCTCACCAACCTTCCTTGTCACACCCACTCCCACCTCCCACCCTGAATCCTACCCCACTTTGGCTTTGTCCATGTGTCCTTTACACATGTTCTTTGATCACCACTCCCCCTTTTCTCCCCATTATCCTCCTCCTCCCCCTCCTCTGGTTACTGTCAATTTGTTCTTTATTTCAATGTCTCTGATTATATTTTACTTCCTTGTTTGTTTTGTTAATTAGGTTCCACTAATAGGTGAGACCATATGATATTTTTCTTTCACCACCTGGCTTATTTCACTTAACATAATGCTCTCTAGTTCCGTCCATGCTGTCATGAAGAGTAGGAGCTCCTTCTTTCTTTCTGCTGAGTAATATTCCATTGTGTAAGTGTACCATATTTTTTTGATCCAATTATTTACTGATGGGCACTTAGGTTGCTTCCAGCACTTGGCTATTGTAAATTGTGCTGCTAAGAGCATTGGGGTGCATAGGTTCTTTTGAATTGGTGTTTCAGGATTCTTAGAGTATTATCCCACAGCTGGTTTACATGCCCCAGGTGTAGAGGAAACAAAGTTGTTAGTAAGTTTCTTAGTAAGTTTCTTCTATACTTTTGAGCCAAGGCTACAAGTAGGCAATCAGTTAATCTGAGTGTGCTGCTATTGGGGTTCAGGGGTTATATACTGCAGTCATTTTCTAAGCACCTTTCAAACTCCCCATTTTAACCTTGTGAATAATGTACAGCTACAGAGGCTTTCCTTTCAGGCAGTAAAAGTTCTTTGTCTTAGTGAAATTTCTAAAGAAGCCTCCTTCCCCAGGACAGAGTCTCTAGGGTGCCCCTTCTCCTGTGCTCTCCTTGCTTGTGAAGTTCGGAACACCAGGCCACCTTATTGGACCAGGCTCAGGACTGCTGAGTCAACGGGTGAGACATGCCTCCCTCCTCCTCCCTGTTTGAGTTTATTACCTATTCTACCTAACATTCTACCTTAAGCATTTGGGACCCAAATCTTCGGGGACTTTGGCTGAAGTCCTCTCCTACTACTTCCTACTGTAAATGGGAAGTTGATACTTCTTTGGGTTCCTTCTGCTTGCTAATTATCAGTCGGAGGAGATGGAGGGAAGTACCTGTCTATTGGAGATGTCTGTAGCCTGGGGTCCTAAGTGTTGATGGAAATTGTCTCATCCTGCAGGGGACAAATTTGACAAGAAGGTTAGTGGAGTGGAGGACGTGGGACACTATCTGATAACTGTTAAATCCAACAGGGATAGAAAAATTATTTTCTGAGGGAGGAGGCTGGGCATATTGACAGGTTTGTAGAAATATGAGAAAGAATTATATTAAGGCCTACTTGTTGTGTTGCTTATCTGTAACAGGTTTTGCTTTTTGAAGAAGATTTTGAGGTCCTCTGCCCTGCTGTTTCAGAAATCCCCAAGAAGTTGGCTCCTTTCACGGTTTGACTCGAGAGGGATGTACCCAGCTGGAGGTGTCAGGGACCTTGATGGCTGTTGGAGGAGAGATAAGAATATAGAGGGGTCCTTTTGATGAGAGTTGTAGCTGAAAACTATGGGTACCATCCCCCCAAATCTTAAATAGACTATGCCCCCTGGTTTAACCTGTTTGTGTTGGTAGCCTTAAGTTTGTTTCTATATTCCTGTAATGCTTTTTTGTACTTGTCCTAGATTAATGGTGCAAGACAAATTTAGGTTTTATATTACATGTTCATGGCCCAGTTCCTCTGTGGGTGAATGGATAAATAGGTCATTTACATATTGGATTACTAGGCTACTCACCTCAAGTGACAGGTCCATTAAGTGCTCTACTAATACTTATCTAAATAAATGAGGGCTGTCTCTATATCCCTGAAGGAGGTCAAGCCCAAGTTACTTGTTGCTTATGTGTTTGTGAATCTGCCTATTTAAATATGAGGAAAAAGTCCTCGTTGTAGGCTTTTTTGCTGCTCCCAGGATGGTACAGAATTATGAGGAGAGCGGTCTAAAGAAGGAAGTAAAGACAGAGTAGATGGTCCCAGTATCCAATAAGAAAGTTACTGTCCTGCCTGCCACATCCATGCACACCATAGGCAGTGGCCCAGTAATAGGGACCTCTTGAGGTAC